TTAAGTCACTGCACGAACCAGCCCTGGATCCTCTGACGTATAAGTTGCCTCATTTTCTGAGTACTGACATATGGCTCTTGCCAGCATTTATATTCAGTCAAAAGCAAGATATCAGTGATTTTTTTTTTTTAAAGTTAAGACCTAGATTCACACAGGAAACCATACAAGGTGTGTATAAGGACCTGATATTACCATATGTAACAATTTTAAAGATTTTAAATCTACTTTGACGCTGGAAAGTAGAATAAGCAGATTTGAGAGAGTTCTGATGTTCAACAAAGATAGCATAAATGGTAATATAACTTGGCTTTAGAGCCAAATTGAGCCATCTTTAAAGGATTTTTAGAAAATCAGAATTTGAGTAGCTGGGGATAGTTGAATGGCTGGATGGGCATGAAGTGTAGGAAAGAATAAATTAAAATTCTTATTAAAGTATATTAGAGAAAACTATTTCAGGAGTTTAAGTTTCAAGAATTTAGTTTTATGCAGAATATCATACCATTGAGATATCATCATACCATTGAGATTCCCATTATAAAGATAAGTATTGTCTTGTGAAACCAGTCTCAGTTTGGATATGTATATGAAAATAATGTGTGTATGTGCACCATATGTTTGAATCAGGTATAAAATCTATTTCTTCTTGTGGGTGATGGTCAAAAAAAGTTTGAAAGCTGTTGTATTAGGACACAATAAAATGGAGGATTTAACTCTAGTATGGAGAGCTTCCAGTTAAGAGGGTAGACTGAACCAATATAGGGGGCTCCCTTCTTGTTTCTAATATATAGAAACACCAGAGGAAATAACCAGGAAAGATAGTATTGATGACGATGTGATATTTTTAGAACGCGGCAGGACTTGAAAGCAAGAAAAAGGATTCTCTAGGTGCCAGAAACAAAGAGGAAACTCAGTGATAGTCGAAAGTGTACTCAACAGTGTATGGCCCTCAGGGAAAACTGAGCTCATGGCTTAGAGGCCTTAGTTTCCATATAGGAATAAGACTCAGAGCACAGGCCCAGGCTGCAGGTGCTGGAACAAGGCTCACTCATAAAGCCTAGAAAGAGCTGTCCTTTCCATGATCAGATACTAGAAAATTGCACCCCCCAGCTCCCACCCCTTCTGGAAAAGGGAAGAAACTGTTATTCTCAGGAAACTAGAGACTGGGACTGTACTATAAGAAGAAGCAGGTCAATTTGCATTACCAATGACCTAGTGCAGAAACTCTGTCAAAGTGATCTGGAGCCCAAGACCTTCCATAGGTCTTTCCCTGGAAGAAACAACCACAAAACTATGTCAGCAACCCAGCAGTTGACCACAGATTCTCTTGGAACAAAATGGCTCCTGCCAAATGACCACACATCCAAGAACAACACAGCACATACACAGGAGCCAATGGTTTTGAGAGGTCATAAGCAGATGGCATATGATGGGGCGGTGGGGACAGAGTTATACACAAGAAATTAGAAATAATTAGAGCAGTCTGAAAGGAACTTTTAAGTTAATCTTTTAGAAATCTTGAAAGAGAATAAGAATTCATTAAACAAGTGTAAAATGTTACCCCAAAAGAACAGGTAGATTTGAAAGAGAAACAAATACAATTTTTAGATAAAATTTGTACCTGGAAGAGAAATATAAACCATGTAAATTAACCCTAGGAAAATCAAATTATGGAATCTGGAATTTCAAGATTGGATAAGAAGGTCAGGTTATAAGACCAAAGGTATATTTGAGACATAATCTTTTAGAAATCTAATGCTAGTTTAATATTAAAGATCTCATTTGTCCAAAGACACTAACAGATCATAACCTGCCAGTGCGTCTCAAGGCATAACCCTTTAGCCTGAAAACTGATTGTCCCTGCTTAGTCTCCTTGCTGTGGAATCATTACTAGGAAGAAAAATACAACTAATGGCAGTTCCTCTTTCCATTTGTCACTCATAAGACTTCGGGGAAATCAGTGTGGCTCTGGCTCCTTATTAGTAATCTCTGGCTTTGTGCAATAATCTATTTATATAAATTTATAAAACGAATGCTCTGAAAGTCTTTACAGTTTAACTCTTTAGGAGTGTACTGTCTTTACTGTTTCTTCTCCCCTCATATAATTTGATATTCTATGACAATATCATTATTATTTTGGTTACTAACAGTTGGATAGTTTTCTTTAGACATTTGCTAACATTTGTCTATGGAGATTACTGTTCAGTCACTTTGACAGAATGTACTTGAAATTGTTTTTCTAGTAGTGGTACTGAGCTCAACTTTGATTTTCCATATCCCTCATGTGCCAATAGCTCACATTTTTTAGATGACTACTATAGTTGGGGTATGGTTTGTAGCAATAGAATAGACATCTTTCTGCAAAAGGTAACTGGTCCCAATGGGGTTCAAACTTGTGATCTTGGCCTCATTATCACACTTTTGTAACCATAAGACCTAACAGATATATTATATGTATTTCAGTCTATAATCTTGAAATCAAGTCGTATTTTTAATTACTCAAGGCTTATTTCAAATATGTAATTAAAAATCACTTTGGGACATTTCTCGCTTTTGTTTGATAGTAAAAGTAACAAAAGTAAAGCAGACAGCCAAAGAACCTAACTCACTTTTCATCTTCCCTGTGTTTTCTATGACAGTGAAAGTCACAAACGTGAAGCTTGCAGGCAAAGACCTAACTCACTTTACGGAGAGTGCTACGGTACCTTTTTCTTTTAGTGAGGCTATAGCAGGTCTGATGTCAGTCACTTTAGAGACCTTTAGACCTCAGTGCTCATTTATTGCTAAAATGTACCAGCTCTGCTTCTGCATTATGAAGATCATCTGTCAACACTTTGAGATATTCTCCTTTGTTATTAAGCTTGTGATGCTCTACACTGTCAGGTTTTTTGCCAATTATAGTTAAGGTACAATGGTGTATTCACCAGATCAAAGTCTCACATTGGCGGTAGAGGAATGATTTGTAAGTCTTTATTCATCTGAATTGTACAATAGAACACCTGAGGAATGCAAATAATCCCTCTGAGGAATCTGCAGGAAAGGCTGTTAAAATGACAGGGTAAAACTATTGTTATTCTGAATTGATGTTTCAGCCAAAGTGATTATTTCTTATCTTGTTGTCTCATAACAGTTCTAGTTTTATTAGTTATGTTGACCATATTTATGAAACAAAATGTGTATTTTATATATATGTTATCCTTTTACATGGGCTTGTTTTATTTTACTTTATTAAATCTATATTTGGTATGTGATTTTCCTTTTTTTAAATTACGTATTTGATTTTGACTTGTATAATAAATGTATGTTACTAAACCATTGATGGTAAATTTTAATATACAGTTTTGTTTGAATAGTGTAAGTCTATAAACTAAGTTAGAATCTCATAATGTTATTATAGGAAGAAGTATCAATTTAAATTTTTACTTTTTTCTTTAACCTTTCCTTCATAATTTTAGATAAGAAAATAGCTGGTTTGGATTCCCTATTTTAAAGGACACATACTTTATTCCAAAATACATTTTTAGGGATTGGTTCGTTATTTTTAGGATGTGACCAAAAGAGGAAAAAAAATATTATGAAGACCAAAAACCACTGATAAATATTAAATAAGTAAATTATAGGTTAGCCTTGTATAACAAACATGTATGAACTATTGTGTGAATTTTTCATTCCTTTATCCCATTCTACTCAGTAGACCATATTCTTAATTTTCTAATAACTCTCATCCCTGCCATTTTCTTTGATGGGTGAGTGTTGATGAATTTGTGGTTTAGTTCTTGTGTTTCTTATCCACTGTAGTGACATTTGCATTGTTTATTTATGGATAACTTCCTCACTTTTTTTACCATGATAGTTATTAAAACCTTGGTCTAAATATGGGAGACAAGTGGAACTATATGAGACTATGATATGTATTGAACTATGAAATCCATATCCAGTTCTATACTAAGCTCTATTCCAGAATCATAGGCACATATGCTGTGATTATCTGAGAATAAAAATTAACATTACTAACTGCTGTTAATATTTGTTTACTATATGCCTCGCTTTACTTTTCTAGGTTCTTTACCTACATCATAATATGTACTGTTATTATCTCCATAGGTGAGGAAACTGAGGCTTAGAAAGGTTTAGTAACCTGCCCAGGAATAAAAAGCTAGAAAAGTGGTAGGATCAGAACCTGGTTAATATACTCACTACAGTTATCTCATTTATGTTCTAACTACCACTTGGCTAAAATACTCCACGTTTTGGAACAGATCACTCAATAATGTCTTTTCAGGTAACACTCGATATCAATTTCCTAACTGATTTGGCTTTCCAAACCCTTTTGCTATTAAAGTACTTTATTTCCTCTGTAGTTCTATTATTCATGATCCTACAAAAGTGAGATTCATAAGAACAATGTGTACACAATCAACTAGGTTTTTGTAAATCTATATTTCCGGACTTTTTTTTTTTTTTTTTAATTAACAAAAATCTCCCTCAAAACCAGTGACAACTGTAAAGTCTTGTTAGTCCAAGAAGGAACTGAACCAGGCATATAGATATCTGGGTGGAACAAATTCTGTATTTGTCAGAGCTCTTCGAAATTAGCTGACACTTTTAGGTGTGATTCCTATAAATATAGAACTTTGTGTTTTTGCTTTTTAAAAATATACTTTGTGAAGTAAGGAGAATAATAAATCATAACATTGAGGTTTTCAAGGTCACAGTTGTTAATGCTGAGCAAATTTAGTGTAACTGTAAAAAGTTTTAAAATATTTGTATTAGTTCCTATAGATAATGTGTTAAAGTAAAACTAGATTACAGTAAAATATTATGGCGTATACCTGAAGCAATTGCTGCCTGTTAATGCCTTGACCTTGGAAAGCTATACACAAAAAGATGGCATCATAAAACTGTGCAATTCTTATGAATATGTATGTGCTACTTGATAATAATGAATGTGGTACAGTCATGCATGCACTACAAGATAATGTTGTGCCCTTTTTTGTCTACAGGTTGATAAAAATTAAAGAGTGGGTGGACAAGTATGACCCAGGTGCCTTGGTCATTCCTTTTAGTGGGGCCTTGGAACTCAAGTTGCAAGAATTGAGTGCTGAGGAGAGACAGAAGTATCTGGAAGCGAACATGACACAAAGGTTAATTAGCATTCATTTTCCCTACACTTTATTATCAACTATTTCCTTGCAGTAATTTAATTGCTTGCGCTGATAGAATAATAAATGACAGAGTAATTACCATTATAAAGAGGGAATCTTCTCCTTTCTTTACCATGAGACAGAGTGAAAAGATTTATTTTAAATTAAGTTTTTAACTGTCATCTGTCATCTCCGTACAGTGTTTTAATTATAACATAGGTATTAGTTATGTATATTTTTGAGAAGGAATGATCGCCAAAACTCTTTCGTCATGTTCAGTGGGGGAGGGGAAAGGGTGAATCAGTTGCCTTAATTTTTTCTGAGTAACAGTAATATATTGTTTAAACATTGGATTTCAATCAAATAATTTTGCTTTCATGACCCACGTCCTGGAAATAATTGATATTGGAGGAAAATAATCATAGAATGGGTAGATCAAATTTTTCTTTTTTTTTATAATAATTCAAAATGATATGTTCAGACTAGTACAATTCAAACCAATTTTAGAAGGGATTTTTTAGGAATAGTTATGTGCTTTCTGACTTCTTCAAGTGTATTATGAAAGATGAATGGTCATTTACTAATATCTCTAACATTTTCTGCTTGAAATGAATAATTTTAGCTTTGTACTGATCTCTGGCACAATCAACTTATATGTTGAGTGAATTTGTTACATTTTATTTCAGCGCTTTGCCAAAGATCATTAAGGCTGGGTTTGCAGCACTCCAACTAGAATACTTTTTCACTGCAGGCCCAGATGAAGTGCGTGCATGGACCATCAGGGTAAGATTCATACTTATTCATCAGCTATATCCAGTTCCACACTATTGAATTCAGATTGATATCACTGACTTTGAAGTTTGTCATGGTGGCGGTTAGCTAGTCATTACAGATGAGGTTTTTGTCCAGGATAACTTTAATTATTTGTGAGCTGCTGAACAGTGAAAGTGGAGCGGCATTGATTGAGGCAGGTAACAATTGATTCTGCCTATTACATAGTCTGAATTTCTTCATCCTGTAGAATCTGTCTACCCTCCTCCTGTGGTCAGAGATAAGACACACCAGTATTGTGCTTGCTTAATCTGTGTGACTGGGTTTGTCTGCAGTGAAATTGATGTTGCTTTTCATTTTGTATTCGCTAAGTTTGTTTGGGTTGCGGGTGGTTCTTTCCTCCTTTGCTTTGCTCGGATTACATTTTCAGCAATAAAAGCAATATGACATCATTATGCTCTTCATAGATATACAGTTGGGCTCAAAGAGCTAAACTCAATGTGTAATAATTCATGGCTTTTTAAATTTGAATTCATAAAAGTAGTGTTTATTTTTGCAGTGTTTTATATTCAATCTTCTTTAATAATGTGATATGTATTTTAAATATTGATGTATAACTGATTACCACCAGAAAGAATGACTAATTTATTCCCAGAGGACAATAGAAACTGAACTGTAATGGCTTGCTTTTAAATGAAAATATATTGTAATATGGTAGTTACTGTTGAAAAATATTTTGAAATATATGTAATCCGAAATTGTGTTACAGAATATAAAAATAATGTCAGAACTTTTAGAAATACTCAGTGTCTTATTCATTCTTTTATTATGCTTTTTTAGTGTATGCTACATGATAAATTTTAGGGCTGCTTTGATTTCTGTTTTCACTGACTACCTTAATTTATTGTTACATCTATTTTGATTTAAGATGGATAGGAACATGGAGTCAGTTGAACATAATGTTAAATGCGTTTTGTGAATGTGAGATTCACTTTTCTTTGATCTCCTCTTTCCTTTGTAAAAAAAAATGTTTGATTGACTTAAAACTAAGGTCCTTTTATATAGACTTACAAAATAATGTCAAAGCAAATCCAGGTTGGTAAACAAATTGCCAGGGTTTATTTTTACTATATATTTTAAAGCCTTAAAACTTCCAAACTTAAGTATGTACGGCAGGAAAGATAACATATTCTGGGCTTGAAAATATGAAAGCTGGTTTATTTTAAGACTGATTGTAAGTATCCATGATTTAATGTGCTAAGATATTTAGTCAGGTAAGCATCAGTGAGTAGCCATATTAACCCAATACATCTTTTATTGTAAAAACTGTGCTTTATAGTGTCAGACTCCTTACCACTTTAACATGCTTTATTAAGCAGCCTTTAGGTCACCCATTATTTCTCAAATTTCTTTCCATGGTTGTGTGTGTCTGGAATGTACGTCCTTGTAATTTAACATATGGGGTAATTATAAGACATTTCTCTTCCTGTATCAACTTGAATTTTCCTTTATGATGGTTAGAGGCAGGGTGTATTATGTAAAGTGTTCAAAATTCTATTAAAATTTTATGAGGATTTTAAAATTATTTGCTGAACATATATTGTATGATTTGTTGGAAATATCTTAAAAATATCCCTTTATATATTGATTTTTATATGTTCTTTAGATGAGCTGAAATTTTCAAGGCTTTTTATCTTTTTGAAACCTTTGATAATTCAACTTGAAAGCTATTTAAAATCCTTACTTTTTTCCACTGTGAAGAATAGAAAATCGAAATGCAACCTACGCCGAAACCAGACCACTGCATCTAAATCGATAAATCCGTGGATGACTATTAGGAAAAACAAAGCTACACTTCTTTAATATCTACTGATCTGTCTGTGCTAAATCTGCTGCACAGATAGTGCCCAGTGTTGAAAATGTTCTAATTGTATATCTGACATCTTAACTGATATTAAACTAAGTTTAAGTTGAGTCCAACAGCAGATCAGAGAAAAGAAACTCTACGCTTTCAGTCAGTCATCTTAAATGCAATTAGTTTTCTCTGGTCTTTCTATTCAAAGAAAGGGACGAAGGCTCCTCAAGCTGCAGGAAAGATTCACACAGATTTTGAAAAAGGATTCATTATGGCTGAAGTAATGAAATACGAAGATTTTAAAGAGGAAGGTTCTGAAAATGCGGTCAAGGTAAGGAATTATTTTCTAGTTTCACACTTTATAATTTTTGCTAATATGAATATACTCAGGATTAAAATGAATAACTGTCTTTTAAACTGTGTGTCAGCATTAGTTTTACTATCAACTGATTGAAGAGCTGTAGATGTTTACATGCTTTTTAGACAATTTTTTAAATGTGTAAATTGTCAGTAATTTTGTGGTGTTTTTCTAAAACAAAAAAAATTTTTAAAGCTAGCTTTAAGTAGTTATAAATAATTTCAAAGAATTTGTTCACTGATGATCAATGAAAAATTATACTTATTATATTTGATATGTGAAATAGAAGTAGTATGTATATGTTTAACATTAATTCAAAGAAAGCAATATAAATTTAGTTAAATAAAACCTGTTCTTGCTGAACTTCATGGTTGTACGTTTTTTTTTAAAGATCTTTGGGAACTTGATTTGCTTTCTCAACACTAGAGGGCAGGTCCAAAATTGTGCTTTATTTTAGCTAATTAAGTATAATTTGATTTGCATCCACTAATAGTGAAGCTGTGTTATACATGAGTAATAAATGATTTCTTTTAATGTAAATTCTGTTGCAGACTTGATTTTGTTTGACTTTATTAGGTTTACTTAGCAAAGTCCAGGGGGTATGTCATCTCTCATCAATAAATAGATAGGTCAAGGGATTAAACTAACATTGTAAAAAGGTTTCTTTATCATTAACTTAATTTGTTATTTGAAGACTACTGTAGAAACCGTTAAAGAATTTAAAGAGGTCTCTTGTGTTTACTATTTCATAATTTCAAAGGAATGCAAAAAAGTTTATTTCAAGTTTAGTTTATTCTCACTGTTATCATTGGAAAGATCATCCTGAACAGCAGGACTATAATAGAATTGTTGGAACCCCAGGAAGAGAAGGGAAAAATCTTGGTATAATTGGTTCAGTGTGGAATGAGAGCTATTTTGTTTTTTTAAAAAGGAATGAAAGAAGTTACAATTTACAACTAAACAAAGTCATTAACTTTCCAACAGTGTCATCTGTGTCGATAGATAAATATGCAAATATGATGTATTAAGGTTGGACTTTGTCAAGAACACTAATTAGACTTGAACCATCTCAGATTATTTCTCAACATGCTACATGATGCTGGCATACATTTTTTTCATAAAGATGATTAAAATAAGGATATTTTTCTATTACTAGAATTCAGAAATCAGCTGCTTCTTTTTTATACTCTCAGGGGATAAGCCTGTTTTACCAACCCTTAATAGATGTCTATGTTGTAATAAACTTGAAGATATATAAATTGTGAATACTTCCTTCAACAATACAGGGAAATTTTTTAATATACAATAAAATAATATTGCCTACTTGTAGAAATGCTTAACACTAACTGGGAGCTTTTATACAATAAATTGGAAAAGATTGACCTCTGGCTTTTCAGCTTAGAATACCATGATGTATTTTATGTGGTTTTTAATCTCCAAAACTAACATTTTGAAATTTGAACTCCAAATAAAATGAAGCATTTATGAATTTCTTTTATTCAACAAATACTTACTTGCACATTATCAAGTAGATTTTAGGTTTGAGAGCAAGATTGTGTATATGTGTATGTATGTATATGTATTTCGAACACCAGTACAGCATAACTAATTTAATGCCAGTGTTGTGAACTATATACTGAATAGCTCTGTGTGGGCTTTGTAGTCTACAGGGATATCACATTATTAGCAATCATATCTGCTTAGGCAAAGCTGGCTTCTACAGATGGCTGCTTTCAAGTGCAAATGAACTGGTTAGACGTGTCTTGTTTAATACATACTCAAGATTCACAAATGGGTATTGATTTTTTTTTTCAACCAGTGTTTCTGATAGCAGTGGAAATGGATTAAATGGTCTCTAGAGAATTTAAAGGAACACTGTCACCTTTAATTAGTAGTAAACTTGAGTGATAACAAAGTATATAAACTTACATTAATATGTCATGTCAATATGTATTTGATTTAAGTTGTCTATATAGTTTTATAACATTGGACTTTAGATTCTCAAAACAAGTAGCATATGGCCTTCCATACATCACAGCTTTACAAAAATCATGTGTGTGTGTGTGTATGCCTTTTAGAATGTTAGGGTATACTGGCTTTTTAAAAATTAGCTTCATTTTTAAAAACACTTATTACTAGGTGTTTTTTTATATGTGGTCTAGATAATTGAAATATGCTTACTAGGGCTCTATGACCTGGTTTGTTGATTTTAACCTCAGATGTATGATCTTTCTTAGTCTTGTTTCTAATTAGTATAATTGCATTTGACTTTGAACATTCTTATCAATATCTTCGAAGGGAAGTACTAATCTGTTGGGCAAGGTTTCATGTTCTCAGTAAATTCCAACAGAAGTAAAATACTTTTGAGAATTTTTTCCAAAAGCTCATCAAGTCCTCAATGTTGAGTGGTCAGTGTGGGGTCATGTGGGACTGGGTTGGTTGTGTGCAGTGTTAAGTGAGAATATGTAGATGTTGAAGAGCCTGTTGTGCTGAGGATGAAGTGTGTGTGCTGTGCCACGGGGTGAACCTGGGTCTCTGTAACTGCCGCTTGTTTATGTTAGAATTACCGGAGGATTGCTGTCTTGATCTACATGCCAGCGGGTGGAATCAGTTGCTTTGCTGACTAATTTACAAGTGGAAAGTATATCTGTCTTTGCAGTTCCAACCTATTAGAGTCTGCTTATAACTAGGGCCATTAGTCAGTAAACTTCTTTGTGTTCAATTCTAGTATACACCACTATGTATTGTCATTGTCAAGATCCAATTAAAAACTACAGAGAAATAGTTTAAAATCTGTACATGACAATTGATAATGGTTTTCTTTGTAGCAAGCTGTCTTTTTGGCATCACCAGTATCACCAAAGAATTTCTTTAAGCAAATAAAGCAGCTTTAACCTAGTTATATAATCTTTTTTCCTGCCTGGTTTGATCTGTTTGTTACAGTGACTTGCCGGATGTTTGCAGACACATCAGAAATGTACCATAAACACCATGTAATGAAACTTAATGATATTGGTATAATTACATTTATGTACCAACAATTTAGTGGAGAATACATTATGATTATGTATGTATGGAAAATCTAGTGCTGCCCAAATCAGGAGTACTTTGCTCCTCTCCAAGTCTAGTCTTGAACTGTGTGCCTTCCTGTATTTCTTTTTTTTTTTTCCTTTAATATGACCCAAGAAGTATAATACTTTTTGTGTGTGTTCCTACCATTTACCTTATATATTTAATTGTAAAAAAACTCATTTCCTCTGTGTTTCCTGTTTACAGGCTGCTGGAAAGTACAGACAACAAGGCAGAAATTATATTGTTGAAGATGGAGATATTATCTTCTTCAAATTTAATACACCTCAGCAACCGAAGAAGAAATAAATTTTAGCCATCACTCAGATAAACGTACAACTTCCAAAAGGCATATACTTTTTTTTTTAATTAAAATTTCTGAAAACTGAAAGGGCAAATAAAGTTGGGGGGATGGGAATCTTCTACAAACAGAATTATTTTTATTTGTTTTAAAATTAAAATACTGTGTACCTCCAATGAAGTGCAAGTTCACTAAATGTGAACAGCTTTGCTTTTCACGTGATTAAGACCCTACTCCAAATTGTAGAAGCTTTTCAGGAACCATAATACTCTCATGATACTTCATTAATCTCCATCATGTGTGCCAAGCCTGACACATTTGACAGTGAGGACAATGTGGCTTGCTCCGTTTTGAATCTACAGATAATGCATGTTTTACAGTACTCCAGATGTCTACACTCAATAAAACATTTGACAAAACCAGCCTTGGTGTGTTTGGGGATGTCTGTATTGACTGACTGTGGTGTGCTGAATGCGATACGGCACCTGGCGGTGGCTGATTACAGAATTTTAAGGCGTGTGTATGACACAGCAACTAGCTTGTGGGGCAGCTGCAATTGTATCTTAAAAGTGGGTCTTTCATAGGAATCAGAAGAATAGTATACCAGGGATTTGTCTCAAGAAAGTTAATTAATTTGTAGATGGACATTTATAAAAAGATGATGGTAATGATATTACAGAGGATATAACATAGGTGACTGTGACCAAAAAGAAAATAATGTTGGAAAAAAATTCTGCTTCAAAAATTAAAGGATTTTTGTTGTTGTTGCTGTTGTTCTGACCATACTGAATAGAATGTTCATTTTTAATCATTCCTTTGAAATTATGAAATTATTGTGAAAACTAACCCTTTCATATCTGGTGGGTTATATTTTTGTTTCAATTCAGTAGTGAGTGTAAAAAGTTCATTACTAAAAAGGTTAGACCTTGAAAATTACAAAACTTCTTAAATACTTGCTATTAAAATATGTTAAGACCAGTTGAAATTTTAGTATGTATAAGTTAAGCACTTTCTAAAATTGTAGCAGAAAGTTCTGAAAGAAAATAATGATAAAATAGTTATCTGGAGATCATTTGCCGCTTAGCCGCCGCCTTTTATGATGACAGTCTTAGAGTTTCCTCCTCCCTGAGCCCTCCCATTCTCTCCCATTTCACACTCCTGCAAGACTGCCCTTGTCCCCATCCATGGCCCTTTTGTGCTCCTCTGTGATCAGAAGACCATTGCAGTGGAGTGCAGACTCCCACCTAGGCCAGCCCTTGCCTCTCTACTGTGTTACTTTGTTACACTAAAGATAAGGAAGTTTTAAAACACACACACATAAATTTAGCATTGAAAGTTACTTAATGTAGCACAAAAAGCAAGAAAAGAAATGATTTTAAAGGCAATTTGCTATACAGAGGAAAGGTTGTTTAAAGAGGATTCAGTTGAGTAATGAATACAGTTTAGAAGCTCTTTAGTGAGTATGTTGTTTTTGAGAATCAAATAGTGATATTCTTTTGCTAACATAAAAATTAGTAAACTTCAGCAGGGAAATAAGAATAAAATGAAGTGAAAAGTTGTTTTTTTATTTTTATTTTTTAAGAACTGAGTAAAACAAATGAAACTCAGGTACAGGTGCAGTTAACCAAGTTTGCAGTGAAAATTCCTGTTATACTTCTATACTGGAGGAATGTAGAGATTAGTGGCTTGTTAGGGGTGTCAGCAGTATAAGAAAAAAGCCAATCTCTTGCTTTTGAGTCCTTTCCAAAGTAAATTGCATAGACTTCTTAAAGAAGTTTGGAATCTCATTAAAAATCCTTTAAGATTGTGTAATTTTACTTTCTCTAATTTCTAATGTGATAATTGCATATTGTAGAACAGAACCATTAATAAGAGAAAGGAATTAGTTTTGAGGTAACTGCCTTCATTAGGGGCTGAAATTAAATGCTAAAGATGTTTAATTTGGTTAGAAGTTCTGTAACATTCTATATATGTATACAAATTTGTATATCAACAAAAGTTGAGAATTCCAAGAACTTTTGCATATAGATAACTGGGTATATGCCTATTTCTTCATGTTTTCCCTCCTTTAATATTAGTGATAGTTAATGTATTTTTAGGATAATAAGTGAACATTTTTCACCTAGCTGTAGATCCATCTTAATCAGATTTTTAGTTAAGAGAAATTTTATTTGAAAAAAGTCCGTGATAGCATTTTAGTTTAGTTTTATCATATTACCTTCATAACTTCACTTTGGGCATGGCTCAGGTCAGAACCCCCCAAAAAGCACAAATGCTTTTATCGTTAACATATTTGTGTGAAGCTTCTGTTCACTTATAATCTGCCAGCCCCATTTGGAGAGTAAATTTTCTAACTCGTGATTAATCAGTTTTCCTGCATCAAAATCCAGATTGATGTTTATCTCTAGTTGTCTCTTAGTATTATTTTCTCAAAGCTCCTTTGTAACATCTCTGTCCCCTCTGATTCAAAGTCAGAGACAGAAAATCTCTTCATTTCCTGTCCCTTATATTTTTCTGATTAGTCTACACGTAATGGTCTTTTGTTACTTTGCCAGAGACTTCAGAAATGTTGGTTCTAACAGCACAGAACATTAACTCGGAAAACTGATCTCATTTTAAGCTTGTAAAAATACACGATTGTGATAGAATAAAAGAGCTAGGCTTGACTTTTGAGTGACTTTGTCTCTGAACTAATTTGGGGCCTCATATAAAAACTGACAGTTCTTGGTTTGCCTTCATGGTCTGTGAATATCCTGAGCCACTTGTAAATTAGTATCTCAGTGGAAAGCCCCATGATGCAATTAGGAGGTATAAAAAAGAGGGGACTCACTTGACCACCATCACCCCCCCGACCCCGCCCCACCCCACCCCGGGTAGCACTTACAAGAGTTCTCAAACCACCTATCCGATCTGGTCCTTGGCTTTACATGTCTAGGGACTTGATTTTTTAAGCTCAGCTGATGCTGCATGTGACATTTTCCAAATTCTATGAGTCTAATTTATAAACTAGAATGCCAATTTCTTTTGTTTACAGTAAAAGATGTTCCAGATATATAAATAAGAAATGGTAGTGAAGGCCCATACTCAGGAGGCCAGGGTTTGACTCCTGACGACACCACTTCCTAGTTGTGTGACCTCAGTTAGGTAAGTTACTTGACTACTCTGAGCCTGTTTCTTCTGCTATAGAATGGGGATAATGGACCACCCTCATGGGGTTGTTGTGAGGATTAAGTGAATTTGTATATGTATAAGCATACCTCAGAGATATTGCGGGTTCCAGACCACTGCAATAAAGCTAATATCTCAAGAAAGCGAGTCATACAAATTTTTCATTTCCCAGTGCATATGAAAGTTGTTTACATTATAGTCCATTAAGTGTGCACTAGCATTACGTCTGAAAAAGCAATGTACATACCTTAATTTAAAAATACTTTATTGCTAAAAAATGCTAGCCATCATCTGGGCCTTCAGTAAGTTGTAATATTTTGCAATAGTAACATCAAAGATCACTCATTACAGATCACCATAATAAATATAATAACGAAAAAGTTTGCTATATTGCAAGAATTACCAAAATGTGACACAGACACACAAAGTGAGCAAACGCTGTTGGGAAAATGGCACCGATAGACTTGCTCGACACAGGGTTGCCACAAACCTTCAATTTCTAAAAAACACAGTATCCATAAAGCACAATAAAGTGAGATATGCCCATAAAAAGCTAAAACTGCTTAGTAACTACTAAGTACTTAGCCAATGTTAACAATTCTTTTAATTTATATTCTTTTAACGTATATTCGGAGTGGTCCCTTCTAGCATCTGTATCCATTCACGAGGCAAAACTATAGTATGAACAGTAAATTGCTTGGTGAATGTAAAATTAAAAGAGAGAAATGTAAATGTTCATTAGGAAATCACTTCCAGGACTTCTAGTGGTTGTCCCCAATTGAGGATACTTCTGTCTACTTGATCATTAGGTCATTTTATTAGTCCTGCCTCTGTATGGTCACAGTAAAAAGATGGGAACAAATAATTATGATATTTCTTCTAAAGACACATAAAAATGGGAGATAATAGGGGGATTTACTCTTTTAGCATCATAGACCTCCAAGCTCTAGGGTGTGCAACAAAGTTCTTAATGAAACATGAAAAAAACTCACGTCACATGAGTTGGAATGCTCAGATCCAGCTGTTCCTTTGACTTACGCTTCCCAGCCCAGAGAGTGGTTTATTTTGATACCATTCCCGGGGAGCACTTCTGTATCTGCTTTCTTATATGGATAGCAGAGTTGCTTTCATGCTTTGGCAAGCAACCAAGGAGGGAAGAACCTGTCATAAGGGGCCTGTGTATGTGGCTTGCATTTGAGGGCCCACAGAGTCCATCCAGTAAGGTCAGAGCAGTCTCTTGCCACAGGAGTTGGGGAGAGAAAGGTAAATAATGATATGTTCAGTTCTTGCACTCTCCTTCAGGTCTTCATGCAAATTGCATTTTTTTCTGATGAAATAAACCATCTTGGTTGCCTTAGAGTATAAGGAGTAGATCTCATCTTCAGTTAATTAAGTTTCAGTCACATTTTCCTAGTTGTCTTAATATTGTTTCATAAAACACTTTACTCTCCAGATCATGACTATAAACTATTTGTTTGAAAAAGGTTATTTGCCAATTATTTCATCCATCCTATGTTGATTTTACCCTGAGAAAATGACATTATACGAGAGTATGCTAGTTTTCTACCAGAATGCGTTCTTCTTTCTTCATAGTTTAAATAGAGTATAGCTGGACACCTGGCTGTCCTGCTGCAGACTCTGTGCTGCTAGGTGTAGGTTCCATGACTAAGTTCTTGTCAGTGGAATGTGAATGAAGGCCTTAAAACCTTGAATATGTGCTCACCTCAGGAGCTACTTTCCTTCCAGGGAACCCCTTGTTAATAATGCAAACAAGGACACCTTAGGGCACAGCGGAGCAACAGTATAACAGAAAGCTGCATCTCTGAAGGACTCTGGCGAGCAGAGCGCCCAGGAACCTGACCGCTTCCCTTGGGACTGGTATGTGAAAGAGAAACTGCAGGGTTCTTTAAGCTACTGTATTTGAGCTACCATATTTCTGTTGTAGCAGCCTAGCTTTTTACCCTAGCAGATATAGACATTTTCTGTTCTTGTCTCCATTATACCTTCTTTGGAGTTTATACCTTCTGTGTTATGAGCACAGCTTTTATTGGGTGGAAAGAGCTAATCCAATCTGGATCAGGTACCACTTCCACTGCTTCCGCAAATTACTCCTCCTGTCTTACATTCTTCACACGTATAATGAAGATCATAGACTAAATGGCCTAGTATGAAAGGACTAAAGAGCATTCCAGATATACAATAGCCACACAATAAATGTAAATTCCAGATTGTTCCCTTTAACATCACCCAAAAGT